AGAAGATTTCTGTAAACAGGCGCTGGCTAATAAACCTTGCTGATTGAACCTGCATGGTCTCTAGGAGTTCTTTGGGCTAGGCCTGACATACGGGGATGCCACAGGGGGCTGGGGGAGGCCCTGGGAGGCCCGGCGCAGGCTGTGTGTGAGTTGGGGGGATGCTGCAGTGCAATGCAAAGCCACAGCTGCCCCAGCCCAGCTCAGCAGTGCTTACAACTGCAGGGGTGCTGCAACTCCCCCCACCCACCCATCTTCCCCAACTATACACTTTTGGCCACCCTGCACAGCGGCATTCGTTGGTGGCAGCACTGGGGATGGGGCTGAAGTAGAGTCCCAGGGCCTTCAGTAGTCTCAGCCAGCTACCACTGCCCCCAGGCCTCTACTTCAGCCCCAGCGCTGTCACACTGAGAAATGCTGCCTCAAGCCCTACACCATGGCCAACCACCCCAGCACCACTGGGCAAATCCCCAGTTGCTCCCACCATCCTGCACTCCACAGGCTCTGCCATGCCCAGCTGACCTTCACTGTTTTTCTCCTGCTGCTGACAAGGTGCACCCAGTCTGACCCTACTGTATGCGAGGCAGCTGCTGGCCACGCCAGGCCTTCTTCCTGAGGCTGCTCATGCTGTTCTCCAAGCTTCTCACGCCATTCCTTCTCCAAATCATGTGCCCCATTCCTTCTCCAAATCGTGTACCCCATTTTCACAACCCTTCAGAAACCTTCTGGTCTTCCCCAGATCTCGCGAGAACAGGTGTCCTATTTAGAGAAGGAATGGGGCATGTGATTTGGAGAATGAAATCTTCTGAAGCACCGTGAGAATGGGACTCCTGTTGTTCTCCAAATAGTGTGCCTGTTCTCACGAGACCTGGGGATGACCAGAAAGTTTCTGAAGGATTGGAAGAATGGGATGTGCGATTTGTGAATAAATGTTTAAGGAATGCTTGTGATGACATCAGAACATGTTAGTTGGGGATGTGAATATGTGTGCATTTCTGTACGCAGATGGTTTGGTCCATTAATCCTTAGTCAATTTGAGAAGTGCAGGCATCATAAGCATATAATTGGCAGGGAAACATCATCCTGAACCATGTCAAAAACAAGATTCTGCAGTGTGGTTCCTGATTCAATTACCTCTAATGTAAGGAATGTAGTCATGCATATTAGCTAGTTGAACTCCTATCTTCACATACTAGGGAAGCTGTAAAGTGATCTTTTGAAACAAGAAATAAGGTCAAGTTCATAATCCCTCTTGCTGAAGAGTCTCTAGGAACTGATACCTGAAGCCAGGCGAGATACCTGGGGGCAGGGAATGTAGAGATAGCTATGAGCAAGTATGAGGAAATCTGTCTTTGATTCACCTTCAGAGATACTGTAGATTCTAGAATACAGGTTATCTCTGAAAGAGGTATGCTATTATCCCAGACTGGACCTCCTCTGTTGGTTGGAAGAATAAGGTAGTGGTGAAGGAAGTATGGCAACTATGGTATCAACAGACAGCACTGGTTGGGTGGGTTAGTATAAAAGGTTAGGGCTTAGACTCTTAAAGTGATAGATTACATTTCTCTTTCTTTTTATGCCTGAGTCCATCAGGTGCAGAATGGTGTGGCAACTTTGTATTTTTAAGTCTATACAGCAGACAAGGCTTGGGCTGAAATGTCCATCGGGTTTGATGGGAGTTGAGCACCTGCTACAGCCAAATTTGCTTGTCAACCTGTGGGTTTTTTTTTTTTTAATCCTTTTCAGGGATTCAGTGATGGAGCCAAAAATAAGACCCATGGAGAACACCTTAAAACTTATAGATAAAGAAAGTTAGGGGAGGTCTGTGGCTGTAATTGCCAGATGTTTACTGAAAATGAAAACATCTGGAGAATGAAGTATGAGAAGGCTGTTTTAGATCATTACATTTTAAAACAGTTCACATTTCTATTACAGGTAGCAAGTAATTCAGAAAATGAAAAGGTGGATCTAAATGCAGTGCAAGAGCTGTTTCTTTTCTTTTAGTGGCCTCAAAGGTGGCAATAGGTAGCTAGAAGTGGGTGCTTCCAAGTATGGGTGTCTCTGGAAAATGAAGTGATATCTAATTGCTTCAGAGGCTATCATAAACCTAAAGCATACACTCTAGTTTTATGTTTTAAAACATTTTGAACTTCACAGTATGACTACATTTGAATAACTACACTTTTCTAAACCTAAGATATTTTTATTGGAATTTTCAGCAGTATTTTAACATGAATTTCCTGTTATTGCAGAAATATTCATTGGTACATACTTGTTTAAAAAATCTTGTTCAGATCCAGGTTCTGACTCATGTTCCTGTATTTGCTCCCCAATTTGCCGAGTGTTTTCTCTCAACACCGTTGATGTGAGCTGAGGGGTCTGGAGAGCACCTGGAGTCTGGATGCTGTCATTTCTATTCAGCCAAGAGCCTTCAAGATTCTCATCTGATATATAACAATAAACTATTACAGTAAGCAATGGTTTTGTGCAATTATGTGGATAGTAACAGAATATGGATCTTGAACAGATAAATTCTTAACAGAAATGTCAAAATCTAATTTTCTATTATGCTTAAACATTAAGAAGAATGCATGTAGCAATTTTTCCAGATTTTTTCCAATATACATCAAGCTTAATTTATTATTGCTTAATTAATAAAACAAATAATTAATGAAATACAATCCCAACCAGAAAAATGCTTAATAGTCATGTATTTGAAGGGTTATTAGGTATAATACAATCAATGTTTACCACAGACATGGTCCATATGCATTTATCGTATTGCATTAATTTTGCCTGCTACACACTTACATATGAAGTTGCGGGACAAACACATTTTTACTAGAATAGTCAGGTGTTTAGTATTGCTCCTATATAAGCTACATGAAATCTTCTGCCTAAGAGTTTGATTTACCCAACAAAGCTATCTTACCAAGGCAGTTCTTTCTCTGAGGGGAGTAAGGCAGGGCTGCATTTTAATTCCATAATTATTTGAATTCTATATAAACTCCCTAGTTGTTCATCAAAATGACCTCAATTTCTTTCCACCAAAATAACTCATCAGCATATTCCAATGTTCTTGAACGCTGATAATGCAGTTCTCTTATCAAGTTTATTGGCTTAAACACGCTTCAGGATATCTTGCTATTTACTATAAGGATGAAGAACTAGTGATAAACTATGAAAAAAAAAGGTCTTTGCTAAACGTCCTAGAACTCATATATGACAGTTAAATGGCCACAAAATCAAGCAAGTCAAGATACAGTGGTACCCCGGGATACGAACGCCTCTACTAACGGACGTTTCGGGTTACGACCAGCTTCGGCAGGAAAAATTTACCTCGGGTTATGAACTCGCCTCTAGTTACGAACCGGATCTGCGGCCGTTTTCCCTGCTGCCATGCGGTCGCGGCTTCCTGTGGGCGAGGTTGCGGTAGCAAGGAGACGTTTGGTGAGGCT